TACTAAAAATGAAAGGAATCATGTCTTGGCCATCTCTGGCCATACTAGAAATAAAAGGACTCATTACTTAAATTCATCAAATCTCAATGGAAATCTAAAAAATTTCAATGGAGTTCAGCATCCACAGACCTTCAAAATCATCCAATTCCAATGGAAATCCATAAAATTTCAATGGAAGTCTTGAAAGCTAAAGAGCTTTTGAAAAGTAAAAGAAAACACAAGGAAAAGGATCAGTTTCAAGAAAGCTGCAATCCAAGAAGCTACAAATCTCTAGACATTAAAATCTAGGGGCCCCCCAAAATAATGACAGAAACTTGCTCGCTGGACTACTCCCTTTGCTGGAATGATTTTTTGTTTTTCAATACTGTTTAATAATGGATTTTGAAAAGAAAATGTGCACATACTTTTTGGAAGTTTTGGAATCCTTGAAGATAAAAGCTTTTGAAAAGGATCAGTTTCAAGAAAGCTGCAATCCAAGAAGCTACAAATCTCTAGACATTAATCTAGGGGCCCCCAAAAGTAATGACAGAAACTTGCTTGCTGGACTACCCCCTTTGCTGGAATGATTTTTTTGGTTTCTTCAATACTTTTTAATAAGGGATTTTGAAAAGAAAGTGCGCACATACTTTTTTGGAAGTTTTGGAATCCTTAAAGATGAAAGAGCTTTTGAAAAGTAAAGCATTGGTGATAACTAAGCACAGCAAAGCTGAAGGAAAAGAATACAAAAGAGCAAGGATCAGTTTCAAGAAAGCTGCAATCCAAGAAGCTCCAAATCTCTAGACATTAATCTAGGGGCCCCCCCAAAATAATGACCCCCTTTGCTGGAATGATTTTTTGTTTCTTCAATACTTTTTAATCAGGGATTTTGAAAAGAAAATGCACACATCCTTTTTGGAAGTTTTGGAACCCTAGGTGAAAGAGCTTTTCAAAAGTAAAGCTTTGATGATAACTAAGCACAGCAAAGCTAAAGCATCAAATCTCAATGGAAATCTCTAAATGTTTAAAAAAAATCTCCATCCAAAAGCCTGTAAGATAAGCAAATCTCAGCAAACTCAAAAAGGAACAAGTAAACTATAACAATAAAACATATCCCACTACAACTACCCCTCCCAAAAAAAAACGACATTATTCTGGTGGCCTTTATTAATCTGTGCAGGAAAAACTCACTATTCTGGGGTGCTTTATTAATCCAAGGAAAACATTATGGATGGACCGTCTCAACATACGAGGGGTTCTGACCAGGCTGCAGGACTCGATCTCTACTCGGTCATCGAGACACTGGTGCCTCCACGAGTGTATTGAAGACGGGCATTGCGATCGAATTGCCCCCTGCAACCTAAGACCACCCGTGGGTCAAGAGGCTTTGGCTACTCGGGACATGAGCTTACCCATGGGCTGACCCAGATGATCCACTGTACCAAGTCAGGAGCACTGGAATCCAGTCGACAGAATCTCCAACCCCGTGAGAGACAGCGATCGAGACAGAAACCCAGACTGACGGCACGGGACTATCTCATGGTCACCAAGGAGCCTCTGATCAACCACCAGTATACGATCCGGACCTTTGGCATCGTGGGGCCTATGACGCAGAGGCGGAGGAAAGGCGGAGCTTGCCGGTGAGCGCATGGAACCGCTACATGGTGAAGAGGGGACCCAGACATGACGGGGGCACTTGGGTCATGATGGACTCGGATGGTGTGCACTTCATCTCCCACGACCCTGGAGATGGAAGGGGATACGTGACGCTTGGAAAGTGGTGCCATGAGGAGGAGATGTGGGACTACCCGACGACTCCAGGCTTCCAGAAGAGGTTCTTGAATGAGGACGGCAGCGAAGCACCTGATCGACCATGAGAAAGGGCGAAAGGTCGCCATCCGAGCGCACCATCAGGAGAAGAAGAAGGTCTACGACTTCGAGTCCAAGATCCTGCTGGAAGAGGAGTGGGGCCGATGGTCGACGATTTCCAAGCGAAAGGTGATCTATGTCGACGAGAGGAACGGAAAGAGGGGAATTCATTTAGACTTCACCTGGGTAGGCTATATATACCCTCTTCCGAACTCCGTGAATGAGGGCTTGAGCCCCCCGCAAAGAGGGGGTTTTGAGAGGCACCTCGATTTGCCACTTTGGCAAAGGGGAGTGCCGGTGCACAAAAAGAGAAGTGTACCAAGTTTGAAGTTGAAGAACCGTGCGCGGAAATCGAGAAGTGCACCAAGTTTCTGAAGACCTAAGGGACTGAACATAGCCCTTTTTGATCAAGAGCTGGAAAAAGAGGCCAGCATCGCGCGGTTCGAACTCTCCACGGACGAACCCACCAGACGAACCGACCCTAAGCCCTTGCAGGCTGCCGCGCCGGGCTCGCGGTCCCTCCGCACGTTCATCTCCGGATGTCTCTTTGGCTGGGCGGGCCAGGCAAATCCCTCACGGAGGTAGTCTAAAATACCTGCTGGATTGTTTTGTGGTAACCATAATAGCTAGCCGCTAGCCCTAATAGCGATGGCCCTCCAACCTAATAGGTATGGCCTTCCTGAAATCATTTGGTCGCGCTTGCTTCCTTTTTTGCCTCTTCATCACCCCTTCTGGCACCTTTGTTGGAGATCAGAAGAGCCACTCCTTAGAGCCAATTGAAAGGTCTTGGGCTCCTGGGAAGGAGTCCTGCAAACCTGAAAACACCACAAAGGTGGGTGGGGTCTCTCATTTACCATTTCCTGCCATGGAGGCCGTTTCTTTCCATGCATTATGGTTGGAGGCCATCGCTATTCTGTTGGAGGCCATCCCTATTAGGAAGCTTCTGAGAAAGAACCGCTGCCGGGATGCAGGCCACTCGTGGCCACAACTTGGCCGACAGGGCGAGTGGCCCTGTCGAACCGGTTCAGACGACCTTAGAGACGACGAGCAGTCGTCGGACGACAGCCAGTCGGCTCTCCCAACGTGTTTCACTGGGCTGTTGTCGAAAGCTTTCGAAGCCTGCAACAAACGGTTTGGGCCTCGTGGTGTTCTGAATTTGGACCTCCTGCCCTTTCCAACAACCTTTACCATCTTCGGGGGGGTCGTCCCATCGATGTGTGTGTCCAGTCTAGCCAGCCTCTGGATGTGCGGCGCCGGATGCCAACTCACATCGAACCCAAAGCTCTGGCATGAGCCGCACCCGAAGCGGCACTTCAGGAGAGTCAGCCAGCTACAGGCTGGATCGCATCAGTCGGAACCAGAAGATCGCAAGACACGTGGCAGCCAGCTGAGATGATTCGATTGGATTCTTGGGGCATCGACGGGGAATACGAAGTATAGGTTAGTTGTTTTTCTTTCCCACGCCTCTCTTCAGCAGCACATCCAAGGAAGTGGGAACATCCTGATCGTTTGGACTGACGCCACGGATTACTTCAACAACCAAACAGTGCCCTACGACGCACTGAATCTCACATTGCCCATGATTCTTGGATGACATGTCTGACTCAGGCTTCGATTTGCTTGCCCTCTTAGTTGCCCTTCTCTTTGCAGAAGCAATCAACTGACATTTTGTGTCCATATGGATGAGCCAAGGAGTGAATTGGAAGGAAAGCTACAGGAAAGTGATCAGCTGGTGGAGCTTCTAAAGACCTTGGAGCACTTAGTGAAAACGCTGCAGACGAAGCTGCAAGTGAGCTGAACTCGACCCTGAGACCTTTCCAGTTCGTCATGTCAATTCCTAGGCAGTTTAGAGCATTTTGTTCCACACATTTGTGGCACAAAAGAGGGAGCTCAAAACAGTGAATTGGAGTCTTAGCTCGACCTTGCTTCCCCGAAGAACTACCAAAAACACCAAAACGGTCCAAATAAACTAAGGCTAGTTCCGACTCTGACATCGGTTACACTCCGAAATGGGTTTTCCGTGGTTTTCTGCTTCCATGTTAGTGAGTCGGAGAGGATGTGGGGTCCGATACTTTCATCCATGAAGTGCTCGGCGAGCGACTCCGGTTTTTGGTTCTCCACGTGAAAGCGTGAATATCAGCGTCATCTGGACGATGAGGCTGATGGATACGTTGGACAAGTGATGTGGGATCCACCGGGTGTGGTGATCTCGTCCGCAGCTGCAGATGGGTGAAGACCATTAGTCCTTCTCCTCCAAGGACGCCCAAATGCATTCAACGTTTTTTTGCGGAGAACCCGTTTTGACCCAAAACAGGAGTCACAATGGCCATGTGTTGACCTTGAACATCCTTGATCCATACCCACGACACTTGCGTGCAAGCCAGTGCAAGCCATATGAGCTCTGCTGACACACAAGTCTGGCTGAACATGATGTGTCCAGCAGCTCTTTGCGGAACAAAACGCACTCCCAGTCATCGCGAGGGAAAAACTGGTCCAGTCGCTGGTCGTGTCGTCTGTCGTCCTTTGGTCGAAACCAACTCAATCAAACCCGCGTCGCCCGAATCGAAACAACAAGCAAATGGAGACTGATAGCGTGGCACTTGTTACTACTAGTAAGGCACTTGTTCCTAGTAGCTTCTTGTTACTACTAGTAAGGCACTTGTTCCTAGTAGCGTGGCACTTGTTACTACTATCTCTCTTTTGGGGACCCAAACAAGCACCTCCAAAAAAGACACAGAGAGCAGGTCTGAGGTCTTCGTGGTGAAGAACCCCCCCCGTCGGACTCCTTCCCAATGTCTATTCGATACACCGTTCCTTCTGGTCTTGCCAATTCGTGGATCACAGGTCTTCGCGGTATTGGAACTGAGCCCTTTTAGGTTTGGCGCGGAAACCGGCGCCGCCAATCCAACAAGCTGCATGATGTTTTTGTTGGACGGTTGGTCAGAGGAGTCCTCGGTGCTTACCTGGACGTCAGATTGGTTGTAGGAAATGATAAGACAGACCGATTTTTAAGCTGAAAAGGCCCCTTGTAAGGCGAGTCTTTTCCACTCGCCTTTCCGACATGTTCGCGTTAAGCAATAAGGCTTAAGGCGAATTGACCCCATTCCTATCCCTTCTGTTTGAAGCCGGGTGGGTCACAGGCAAACGACGAACAGGTGCGCCACTTTGCTGAGAAGCTCGCGGTGTCCAAGCAACGCAGCGATCGCGTGGCAGTGAACCAGCGTGGCACCCAGGAGAGGCGGTGAAACCATGGGAACCACGCACCACCACGGTCGTGGCAGCCAGGAAAGCAACCATGAGACGTCTCAAATGAGGCATCGCTACTAGTAGCTAGAAGCTACTAGGGTGGAGGCCATGGCTAGTAGGTTGGAGGCCATTACTACCAGTAGCTAGAAGCTACTAGTAGCATTTGCAACGTTCCCAGCCCAATGAAAAGCAAAGGTTAGGCGACCCGACGGAACTTCGGAGTCCCCCCCACCCTGCTTCATGCAGCAAATGGTTGACTTTGATTGCTATGGCCAAGGTGGTCGGAGATCATTTTTCAAAGTCAAGAAGGCTCCCGTTTTGTTTTGTTTTCCAAATGTTCTTGAGATCTTGGAATGGATCCCAGATGCTTTGCCTTGTGGGTGTGTATTTGAGTCGGGGCCTCCCCCCAATCAATTGCTTTTGGTCTTACTACTAGGAGCGATCGGACGCTACGAGTAAGGGGCTCCTGGCATCGCTACGAACGGAGCGATCGGACGCTACGAACGGGGCTCCTTCTTCCAAAGGGGTCAAAGGGGTCGGTGGTGGAACCGACCGATGCAAAGCCTACCGCCATCTCCACGGCCGACGTGATTGGCCCGGTCCACGGCCTGAACTGGAGGAAGAGTTCCAGTTTCATGGCCTTTTGGTTGGGTTTGGTGGATGAGGATCGATGAAAGGGAAGCAAAGTCATCAAATTGGTTTGAGTCCTTGGGCTCTACAATTCATGCTTTCACATTTAAGGAAGGACTCTGAGCATCGCTTCTCGTGTGCTGAGGTCCTCGATCTATGTCTTTGCAGACTTACTAACAGCGCTTCAGTCCAGCAGCGCTGAGGAGAGCACGGGCTGATTTCGTACGCTACGCTACGCATGGCAAGGCATGCCTTGTTAGGCCTCCAACCTAATAGCGATGGCCTCCAACCTAATAGCGATTGCCTCAATAGCTATGGCCTCCAACCTAGAAGCGTTTGTTACTGACGCATAGACTGACGCAGACTTCTTAGGCAACGCGGGCTTACCAGATTGGTACAGATTGGCAGTCCAGAGCTCCATGTTCTATGGCCTCACACACTTCCACTCATCAATTCCGAGAGAAGTAAGCAACCGCATGAAACGGATTTTATATATGGTGCATAGAGATATAGAGTTGAAATACTCAGTTCATAGATCCAAACTTAGCTATTGAAGTGGTGTTGGTCTAAATGACTTTGCAGCTCCAAGTCCAGGTCCAATTCGATCTACACAAACTTATTTGCCTACCTTCTTGTGATTTGTTGTGACACTCCTGTGGCATGAGGAGATTCACTGCAGTTGGGGCGATCAATGGTCCATGGAGGGTGTGAGCAGGGTTGTCAAGTTTAGGCCAAGCGTGGAGCAATACAAGTCGCCAAGACAAAGTGAACTTTTAACAAAATGACAGCATGATGACAAGCTGATGAGAGCAATGGCAAGACGAAACACCGGCAATGACAAGAGACTATGGAAAAGCAATGATAGTCATGTCGATCACCACAACAATCAGCCTTATGACCACGTGAGAAAACAATTAAGCACGCTACACATCGGCCAAAAGGGCACATCACCTGCTCCCATGCAGGCGGAAACCGGCACAAAGAAGAAAACGTTTGTTCCGATCGTTTGATCTTTTGTTTGGTTACATCCCTCTGTCAACGGCAAGATCTATGTCAATGTTGGCATCGTTCATCCAGGTTGACTTACATATTTATATAAAGTAGCTATTGCTCCTACTGAGCAGAAGTTCGGGGAGGTTTGCAACACGGGCTTCCGTTCAGAGGCTTCATTCATTCGACTCCCTTGTGTTCTCATGCCCTTGTTCCCACCAACAAAAGAAGAACGCTAGCCGCAAGCCTCCCAAAAAGGGTCCTGCTAGTCCTGCTCGTTTCGTTTCGGAGAACACCCCGAAGCAAAACGCCTGCGAGTTGCGGCTCGCTCCGATGCGCTCCCAGTGATGAGCCAGGACCGCATCATCTCTGAAGCACGTTGGGGATCCCAGTGGCGTGTCAGATCTTGGCTTTAGGGTAGGAGGCGCAGATGGCTTACAAGCAGATACCAAATGGCTGAAGTGAAGTTGATTTCATGGTATCTTCATCCATATTTTTTTTTAATGCTTCAATGCTTCATGGTTTCCACTAGTGAAGAGGATGTCCGTGCATGCTGCGAACCTTAGTTGCCCGATGTTGCCAGCACAGCAGCTGCCCTCGTCGCGAAGTGGAGGGGTCCCTGTCAGGCACTGTGGGCAGTGATGCTTCGGTACGCTACCTCAGCTTAAACGCTGAGGCCTGGGCGGACGCCAGGGCGGACGCCGGTCATGCCACGGGGTTTGCAGCGATTGCCGGGAGCAAAACCAGTGGTTCTTCGGCGAGAGGAGGCACCTCATTGATACCAGGTTTTGAGCACCAGTGCCTACCTGCAGGTCAGCAAAATGATCTATATCAGGATCAAGGCGGTAGGCCGCATCGTTTGTGAGATCCATATTCTCCATGGTGGTTGCTCATGCTGTAGATCAGTGGATCTTGAACTTGCTCCAAAGAACCAGAACTTCAGAGCAGACGTGTGAAACTGGAGACACGTCTCAAAAAAGGATTGCACCACCTCGTTAGCACATCTCATCCATTCTCATCCCTGAAGCAATGGCAAAGGTCGAAGATCCCTCCTACAAAACCTGGTACATGATTCTTCTTCCATGGAACAATCATGAACGCGGAGGCACCCCGAACCTGCCGACGTGACCGTTGCCTTCTTCGATTCGGTCGAGCGGTAGGCGCGCTTCAAGGAAGCTTTGATGGGTGCCCGGGTGGCTTGGAGAAGTCGAGGTTGCGTGTGGGTATGTTTGGTGTTGGTTTGGTCCAGATTCGTTCAAAAGGAAGAGAAAACCTCGAGGTTTACAATGACTTGTCTCCCAACCAAGCGGTGTGCATGAGATACAAGAAAGAGTTTTAAAGCCGTTAAACCCAGCTGTACAGAGTTGTGAGCACATTCTTCCCTTTGGAGCCAACGAACTTGGCTTGTATGAACTAACTCTCTCCTCGGCCGCAGTCGGATGGAGCCCCTTCTGTCGGAGCTGTCGGAACCGGTCTCAAGGAGGTGTGTGACCACCTCTCAGACCGGCCACTCCCTTCGCGATGCATCAGACTGCATCCGCTCCGTTCGCATCCCACCATCCTCTGATTCCGAGCATCGCATGATCTGGATTCAGAGCATCTGAACCCGAGCACCGTTTCTATGTGTCCCAACCATTTGGCGACCTGTTTTGGTTGGGTCCTCGGTCCACCCGAACACACCAGGCCGTGCTCTTCGCTGGGGGAACCTTGGAGCCCAAGGAGAGGGGTCTTTTGGGAGGTCAAAGAGAAGGTCTGTTGGGAACCCTGAAGGCTTTTGTTTGCCAAGCTCAGATGGCTATCGGCTAAGTTGGGTTTTGGGAGATGTTGGATGAGATCGAACACCTTTTTCCTTCATGTCGTTTCGTTCGCCCGTCGAAGCGGTAGCGCTGGCGCCCCGGGCCATGCGGCCGTAGGCCAAAAGATTGGGACACGGAGCGCGCACTTGCAGAAACGAGTGGCAAATCTATCCAGTTTTGACCTTTGCGAGTTTTGACCTTGAAGCTCAAATATGGCCTTGTAAGATCCGAGGTGGGTGATCCTACCTTCAGAGATTCAGTGTGCATTCTTTTACATATATATGTTGGAGGCCATCGCTAGTAGGTTGGAGGCGCAATTAGCTTCCTTTTGCTACACTGTACGCTCTTCCTTGCTCCGTTCGTCGCGGATCGCAGGAGCTGCAGGTCCTCTCGTCGAAACCCATGGTGAACTTTGCGGGGCCACATGTGCGGGGCGACGACGAGCGCGGGAGTTGGGCGGTCAGACGGACGGTTTCTGCTTGGTTCAGCTCGGTTGGTGGAGCTTTTGATCGATCCGGTATGTTCCATTTTTTGCCGGGGTGACGCGGGCAGAGGTTCCAATTGGTTTGATTCCAGCAGAGATTCGCAGGGTTGCATGCCCATCGAAATGAGGACATGAGAAGACAGTATAGAATCATGATGGATATATTGCATGAATCACTCATCCTCACATGTTGATGAGGCGCATCACTCTGCTCGTGAAGGTGTTTTAGGCTGAAATGATCATGGTTGGATGGCATCACCTGTTTGGTATTCGGACCATGTTCATCCTTTTGGGTGCATGCCATTCACGGCCCATGGCCATCCAGGCAGTGGAGACACTGGGGTGTAGGACCCTGCCATGTCCTGGTTCCCCATCGGGTCCTCCGCCCAGACCGGTGGAAAAAGAGTCTGCTGAAAGCTTTTGGGATCTGCCAGTAACTGGGATCGAACTTCTTTTTCACCACATGTGATTTGGAGGTTGCAGGTGACTAGCCAGTTGCTGGTGATTCTGCAAAGAAATCTGAGCTCCTTTGCATTCGTTTTGTTTCTCCAGGTGGTGCCGACGCTTGGATGCGGGAATTGGCGTGGCCCAGGGTGCAAGAGTGCATGTGATCCAGAGTAAAAAGATGCGTATGCTCTTGCTGTTCATCTCTTTTTTTCCCAGTCAAAGCCAACCAACATCTCCATTTCGGCAGATCATATGACCAGCAAATGACTGATGGTACTTGTATTTAACAAATAAAGGGGCCAACGGTCCAGAAGCGATCCTTTGAACCAATCTTTCTGTCCACCTTGTGTCCACCTGTTCTCTCACGGCATCCTTCGTGGCGTTCGGGGACGGTGGGTCAAGTCACCGTCCCGTTCGGGGCTCCGCTTCGGCGCTCCGGTCCCGTGACCGGCTACGCCAGCATCGGGAGAGAGATCGCAAGAACTGAGCATGTTTCATCCTTTTGCTGTGAAAATATGTCGAATCCACGGAGCCATTTCGATATGTTTCGATGTGTTATCAGATATGGTGTTTATATATGTCTCCTTGTTAACATGGTCTGATAGAATCCACAGAGCCAAAAAGGAGGGCCGCCTGGCAGCCTGGCGTGTTTCATCGCAGTTCGACGGTCGGTACCGCTGACGACGGTGCCGCCTCCGCCAGAGCTGAGGTCAAGTCATGTGTTTGCGCGTTACGTCACCCATGGTCCCACTGGAGAAGTGCTCGATTTCAGGACTGCCGCATGGGTGTTTTCGTGTTTTGGATGGAAGAGACTGTTGAAATTGTTGAATTTGGAGGACTCTTGGTCCCGATTCAACAGAAGTTACAAGCACGTGGCAAAGTCTTCTTGCCGCACTGAGCGGTTCTTGAGAATCGCTGGTTCTTGTTATGTGCATCATGCGTTCTCTCTCTCTCTCTCTCTCTCTGTCAAACTCTCTCTTTGTCATATCATCACTCTTGGGTTCCAGCATGTCAATGTGTGTGGAGCACTCGGAGCGCGAGGAAAGACAACCGCAATGAGAGGATGGTGACGGAGTGACATGGCACCGTTGGATGATGGCTGGCGTGTGAGGTCTTTTTGCTTACAAAAGCACAAAAGCACTCAATGCGCCCATTCTAAGAATGGCGCTTGGACGGACCAGGTTCAACATGGTTCAACCTGCATCATGCACAAAGTTTGTACCCGCTCTTGTGCGTATCACTCTACATTCGCGGGCCTTGTAAGATCCAAGATCGACTACATGGAGCCGCATTCTTGTCCAAGAACGTGCCAAAACATGCAGTGTTTTCCAAAACGTGCGACCTGGTTTCGTGACCACGAAGTCGGGCCCCAACTTCCGGAGTTCTTCGCGACCTGTGGACGGACGCTGGGACCGAGGGATTCCAAGAATTGGAGCATATTGTCTTTGACCCAAAAAGACATTCCGACATGCGTCCGATCGCTCCGTTCGAGTCGCGATGCCAGGAGTCCCTTACTCGTAGCTTTCTTGCTCCGTTCGTAGTAAGGCCAGTTTCGCCCCTTACTCGTAGCGTCCGATCGCGAACGGTTCGTAGCGACGTACAGTCTTTGGGCTTCGTGGCACGGCTCGGGAGCCACACGACTACACGACCCCCACGGCGTGGTGAGGCTCCGGGAGATCCTGACCCAAAGCGCAGCGGCGACGGCTGGCGGCATGGTGCCTGGGAGACACCGGTCGTGGGAGACACCGGAAGGGCAGAGAAGAAGAAAAGAAGGAAAGAGCACGAATACCCAAAGCAGTGAAGCTAAAGCCAGATAAAGGAAGATTTCAAGGTCTGAAGAAAACAGATTAAAGAACACAAGAGCAAGGTAGCCTTGAAGGTATAAACCAAAAAATGTAAACAAACTTAAGAGGAAAATAAAACCATTGTTTCCTATCAAGGTCAGTGAAATCCATTCGCCATTCGGCAAACAGTGCAAGCAGCATAGGATGAACCTGGCAGTGTTAAGAAGTCCTCAGCAACACCGTTGTCAAACAACCCACCAGTCATGGACCATTGCTGTAGATCCGGCATGGGGCCACACCGGAAACAGGAAAAGGGATCTCTTCTCAAAGAGAGCCGGCTATGTCTATACCCAACGATTTGCAAGTTGCTCAGAATGGGGTTTGGATAGACTCTTTTTGATGGCATGATCTACAGGAAAAACCATCCGGGGGTGCCCCCCAAAAAGTGATGGTTTACAATCCAATCCATGTTCTCTTGAAAAACCCATCCTCCAATCCCCGACCTGTTCGGGCTCTCTTCAAGTTCCGACTCTCCGAGGGTCCGGGGGACCGTCGGAGAGAGGACGAAGTAACGCACTCACCCGGCCTGGCCTTCCGAGAACGACCGGGGGACGTGTGGTTCGGGAAGTGAAATCAACAAGCCAGAAGCCTAGGGGACTAGACTACAGCTATAGGGGTGTGTATGTCTAAGTGGGAGGACTAAGTAATTTAGACCTCCTCTTCCAGGGGTTTGTCGCTGGCAGGTCTCCTTATCTGTTTTTGCACACCAAACATATTTAAAAAATGATTACAAGGAGCTCTTGACGGGTCTCGCTTTGAAGCCCTCGGACGGTCTCAAGGGGATCCCTTTGACGCAGATCAGTCAAACCGTGACCCAGATCAGTCTCAAGCCGACCGAACAGGAGGTCGCCTTCGAACACAAAAGACACTACTCTAAGAATCCTTGGGCTGGGGTCGGGACCTCCTGTTTGAAGGCCCAGATTCGTAAGGGTACATCTAGCCGAAAAAAGGCTCATACCTGGAAAGACGCCCACGACCTCCACTTCTCCCAAGAGCTCTGCAGGGGTTGGCCCACACCTGGTTGCATTCTGAGGTGGTCTTCTTCCCATCCTACGAATACCTGGCCCAAGTAGTGCCCAGATCCTCTTCGATGAGACTCTCAGCATAAGCCGGTGCGGTGAACACCTCGTGGTCGCCACCCTGGCGACCTTCGGTGGGCCTTCTTCGGGTTGAGCGACTGATGCAATTTGATGCATGGGACTGGATTTAGCAGATGATATGCACATGCAAGGCCACGTTCTCGGCAGTGGCCTAACAAGGATTTGTGATGGTAACACTGCACACATGTCATCAATCCACCATGTTTGAATACTGATTAGCTTGCTTTGTGTTGGCCCGACTTGCTACACATGTGGATTCTGCCCCTTCTTCGGCCGATAGATGCCACAGTACCACATCAAATATATTGTGTATTGTTCACTATTCACGCGGTGCCGCAAATCGAATGTGGAAGAAAAGAAGAGGATGAAGAGGAGATCGTGGCTGGAGATTTGCATGTTCCTTCCGCCACTCTTGTGTGCAAAGTACTTTGACTGTGCCTATGCTAGGTGCGACTGCATCGAATTAACGTCACCTTTTTTTTCCATCCCCCCCTGCGTGTTCCGACAGCTGCCTGTCAGGGTCAACCTGGAGACGGGTGTTTTTAAGCCTGCACAGCTCTGTGGCAACGGGTTGCTCAAGGTTGGTGCGCAATGTTGGCCAAAACCAAAAGATCGTGCCAACGTTGGTTGGTCCTAATTTGTTTTCTCTTTTTCACAGCCCCAACCAAAGATGGCTGCGACGATGATCATCGTGGCCATGTCGTCGACCCATCATTGTTCGATCGTGGTCCCACAAGCAGTTCTCAAACTTGCCATCGATCGAGGACTTGCCGGCCGTGCCCTTTTCGTCGAGCGCGAACAGAAGCGAGGCGCGGGGTGTGGTTTTCCGTTGGTTTCGGACGCCGAAACCGAAGAACGACGCGTGGCTGGGCGTTCCGAACGTATGGGTCGGCACGCAAAGCACATGGCCTTCTCAAGTGCGACCGGTCCTCTTCTAGGCTGCAACGGTTTCAGCAAAGCGATGGATTCCTAGTTTCTGGAGTCCCTTTGTTTTGGACATCATTAGTGGCGTCCGACAGCTCCGTTCGAGTCGCGATGCCCCTTGTTACGTTCGTAGCTCCTTGTTCTTAGTAGTAATGCCTGGAGCTACGTTCGTAGCATCCTTGCACCTAGTAGCGATGCCAGGAGCCCCTAATAGCTTCTTGTTACACTTGGTCCACGCATCTCCGGAGACTCTGACCTTTCCGGCCATGCCGTATTCGATATTCAGCCGCGGTGATGCTGGCCACCACACACGCCACCTGGGCGTACTTTTTCGGGCTGAAAGCGCCCCGTGGAAGAACGTGAAATCCTCCAAAAGACCGATCCACGTGACGGTTGGGGCAAAAAAATGCCTGGCTTTGACAAATACAGGGCAGGCGCCACATCCGGGACACAAGAAACACGTGTTTGATGAGGCACCACAGCTGTAGATGCACCATGATGCACCCATCAAAGATGAAGGAAAGGAAGTTATAAGATGCTCCAGTTTGTTGCACCCATGTTGCACCCATTTGATTCCCTGGGTCGGGTCGTTTCTACGTCGTTCCAAACTTCGAGCCGGGTTTCCCAACATCTCTGACCCTCCACCCATCGTCCCGTGCAACGCTGGGCACAAAGCCCGGTGCAATGCAGCGCTCGACAGGATCTGAAGATCCCAATCTCCTCCAGCACTTTGCCGCTGCCGTTCGAGAGGTGGGAAACGACGCCCTGCCGTCGGGTCCCGGAACGACGGTTTCGGGTGAAGAGGACGAAGCTCCGAGACGCGTTTGGTTCCTCTCCAAGAGGAGGTGAGTCTTGCTGCGTTGGTCTTGTGAGCATTTGGGGTGAGCATTGATCACTAAAGACGCAGTGATGCCGTCGGATTCCATGAAGTTCCGTTTTGGAGCCAGTCTTCCACGCAACGCTTAAGCCAAGTGATACTGCGGGGCACTTGGAGTATCCATGCACGGGGCCAGAAAGATGATGCGTGGATGAAACTTGCTTTGTTCCTGTTTGATCCACCGAAACATGATCCACCGGACCATGGGCCACTAGGAACGGTCCTGAACGGTCCTGTTGTCTTGGAAGCCTCGTTCTCTTCCCATTTTCGCAGGAGGGCATGGCCGTATTGTTGGCCTTGAGTGGTGGCCGTCTCAGTGAAGGCATCGATTTCAAGGCAGCCTGCGAGACGGCGTGAAAGGGCTGCGAGACTGGGGCGGTGACGACAGGTCTATCTCAAAGGGGGGTAGGAGCCTCGGAGGCTCCAGATTTGGGGCTCAAATATGTTGGCAACCCTTTACATCAGGACTTGAGCCCAGAGTTTTTAGGGTTTAGGGTTCACCATGTTTAACTCTAGAACAGTCCCATCGAATCCCGATGTGTTGGGTGTTGCGCCCACTTCACCAGGCTCTACGGACGAAAACCATCAGGCTCTACACCTGGACCACTACCGTGACGTGGTCGGGACCCAAATAGAAGTCAAACGGTGTCCAAATGTGTCCAGTACATTGAATGAGTGGGGATCTACGGTTCTATCTATTTGGGGGTCTATTTTCTTGCCTCTTAAAAACTTCTATAGTGACTATAGTGTTTCCATGTGTTTCCTGGTAAAATCTAGAACAGGTGAACCCTGGTGGTGTATGTCAACAGCACTTCTGTGGCTACACAGAAAAAGCGCTTCCACCCATCGCTTGCTGAAAGCGCTACGCCGTCGGTTCGCAAGTGGATGCAATCTGAACCCCACGCACCGTGGAGACGGTGGAGCCTATGGGCCATTGGAGAAACCACGGAACCGAGGCTTCTTTTGAGACGCCCAAGTACAGCACAAGAAGTCGTCTTCCATTCGATGACCAGCATGGTGAAACCCATGATTCGCTCCCTCGATCTGATCGGGGGAGGTTCTTCATGATCGGAATGCCAACCGGCAGATGCCATGTGAACGCAACTTCTGCCAACGCACTGAGAACCAGTTCCAGTTCCAGTTCCATCCAATTGATCTCTCGCATCGGTTCACCGGTGACTCTTCTCTTCAGCTTCACCCGTGGCCGAGCTTGGTGAACGACCTCCCACCACTGGCGATGACCGGTCTGACCGGTCGGCTGGGCGGTGTCGGTTCGACCGGTCGCCAGGATGATCTTTGTCGCCTGGTGGCTGTGGGGTCCTGAGCGGGAGAGAGGACCGACGAAGAGCGGGAGAGATGGGAAAGGCAATCAGGTGTGAGCAGTGAGTGATCATGAACTCGTTGAAACTTACACAAGCAACCTGGGATGTGCCTGGATGTGTTCGCCAGGTTCAGGTCGAAATCGGCGACCCATCGAAGTCAGAAGTCGACATCGCTGACGAAGGAGCGAGCGGAACGAGCGAACTGGAGTGCTACACGAACGGGTGTTCTTTCCATCCAAGGACCGTATGTCCTGTTTCCAGATCCAAACCTGGTCCAACTGACATTCACTTATGACGACGTCCAGAAGGTGAACCACCGAATGGGGGGTCCAGTCAGACCTTCGCTGATCGCACTGGAGAATTTGAGTTTACAGCATTTGGGAATCCCAAATCAGCCTTCCTTCAGAAGTTCCCAGTGTCCGGTGGTCTCCGGTGGAGCGAGATCGCGATGACCTCCGCGAGATCGGCCGAGGTCGTCGGGCTGCCCTACCCGAACGCGTCGGACCTGGCGATGGTCGAAAAGCCGCTGGGTCCGGGAGAGAGGTGATGAGAGTCTCCGTGTTGTCTTCCCATGGTGAAACCCCGCGAAGCCGAAGCCCGTGGGAAAAGGATCCCAGGGATTCGTGGGTTTGAGGTCCCTGGATGTGAAGCTTGCTGTCGATCACAAAAGCAAGCCTGGCAGCTTGCCAGTTGGAAGAACTTTGGGCAGAGCTGTAGCTGATGGGAAGGAGATCCAGAAACAAACCAAGACACTGCTTCTGGAAATGTGAATTATTGGGATACCTCAAATATACTCAGATGTTTTTGTTATGGATGTTGGCCGGCAACACGGTTCAATGTGTTTTCTTCGGATGATCGTTTTCCGACCAGTCGGGTTGTTTTGGGATCTCCAGAGGAGGTTGTTCAAGGCGTTCATTCCTTTGCATATATGCTTGCATCATTCGTGCTTTGTCAATTTTCACACGTGATGTCTTAGGTCACGGGCCGCAAACCAGATTAGTACTACGATCAAATTGATATAAGTTCTTTATGTCCCTCCAGCCAGCGAACCCCGCCACATGTCCCGCACAGATGGCTTGAGATCTGTTGTTTCACGCTAGGATGTCTAATACATGTCTCACTTACATACCGTTTGGCTCAAGGAAAATCAGGTGCGACTTGTTGGTAGTTCTCGGTCGTTTACCTGTACCTACAGGTTATCAGCCGTATCGCCAAAAGTGCGGTACGTGCTTTCTA